AAGGCCAGCCGCTGCTGAAACTGCCCGGCGGCTGACTACAGGAAGCCCGAGGCAGAGTTGCTCTGCCCGAGGCTTCCTGGAATCAGCCGCTGATCAGTTTCAGCAGCAGCTGACTTGGGGATGCCTGGGTTTCTTAAGTTGAATCTGTATGTAAGTCAGAACTGGCGTCCAGATTCAGCCGCGGTTGAAACTAATCATTTTCAGCAGCGGCTGACGCCAGTTCCGACTTGCATACAGATTCAACTTAAGAACAAACCTATAGTCCCTATCTTGTACGTAACCCGGGGACTGCCTGTATAATAAAATATTTACTTTTTTAAAATATTAAGCAACATGCACGTTATAAAATGGACCACCAGTACTACTATACTTGAAGTTTAGATTAAAATTGTTTTAGGACTTTTCATTTCGCCCTATTGCTTAACTATAGTGGTTTTGTTAATTCCATTTCTCTTGATAAAGGTATATCCAAAGCAGAAGTGTAATATGTAAACTATAGATTCCTTAGAGCAATAAATAAATTTTAGAATAGATAATAGAATTTGAAGAATATTGCAAAAATAAGCAGACTATCAGGAGTCTCTAGTATTTTCAGTTTTCACCTCAACTTCTACATGTTCCTCATATTAAGAAGTTGGAGCAAGTGGGGGATGAACTTAATGTGTATTTTTTAGATGTTATGTAGGCTACATCTACACTATCATGCTAAATTGACCTCAGCTACGTGAATTACATAGCTGGAATCGACATACTTCAGATTGCGTTACTGCGGGATTTACACTATGGAGAGTCAATCGGCGAAACTCTCCCATTGACTTCCCTTACTTTTCTCATTTGGCATAGAGTTAGAGGGATCAATTGTAAAGCAACCTGTAGTTGATTTGGTGGGTCTTAATTAGACCCGCTAAATTGACTTCTGGTAGATCGATCTCAGAGCCTTTATCTGGGCTGTAGTGTAGACATAAGCTTAGTGTTCCTCTTTCAAATGTTTCAGCAGCAGCCACAATAGCCTTCCATACTGGCCAAATGAAGGTACATTATCATGTTGTAGAGGGCATGGGGATTCATTAAATTCTGGTAAAACTTTGAGTAGATTCACACTTTCTCAAATTAAAAAGTCCAAACAAAACCTTGCAGATTAAACTGAGTCTAGAAAAGCTAATAACATTTCTACCATTCTGAACTCAGATCATACCAGAACATCCATCTCATGTGTATCCACACTAGTGAGTCCTGTGCTAAAGCTATGAGTTTATACTTCAGCCAGAACTTTTAAGGCCTAACCTAAGCCTATTTCACATCAGGCCTTACCACTACTTTCTTGGTCCCTCTCTAATGCAAGGTTCCTGTGGAATTAAACTTACACAGGTAATACTCAGCTTGTGATTAAACTCATGTGCAGTGATTTGTGCTGCTGCATGTGGCGGTCATGGAGTCTGCCTGTTTGGTCTCAGTCCATATAGGTCACAAGAGCATACCTTGTGCAGCTTGTCACAGTTGCAACAAGCAGAATGTCAATAAGCAGCAACTATGGCACTGGTAAAAAAAAAAAAAAAAAAATGGCAGCCCTCCACGATCAGTTCCTGGCAGGCTACCATCACTGTGTTTACCTGCACTTCAGCAGGTACCAGGTGATCACAGTTCTCATTGGCCACGGATCACCGTTTGCGGACAATGGGAGCTGCAGGAAGCCCACTGGCCATGAATGAACTAAACTAGACAGTCACAGTGGTCGCTCTTGGTCTTACAATCAATGATTCTCATTAATGCTATGTCCTTCCTCAAAGAGCCACTCAATTTCCAGTATGTGGAAATCATTTTGTAACATTGTGACTTGATCATTCCCTCTGTTTCTCGCTCTCTGAAATTCTTTTTAATGCCAGAGTAGTATTCAGCCTCAGGGCTGGAGAGCTTAGTGCTCCAGTACTTGTCAATACAGGTTCTTCAGGAGCGGTTTTGTTTTAGGGATGTGAACGGGTAACCAGTTGCTTAATGGAAGACTGTTCCTGGGGAGCAGACCCCACCTGCAGCCCACTGCAGGTAGAAGGCTGCTCCAGCCTCACAAGGCCACCAGCTCCCAGCCTGTGCAGGCTAAGAATCAGCAGCCTCGTGCGGGGCTGTGGGCTGGGAGCCAGCAGCACAACGCGGGGCCAGAAGCAGATGGGCTGGAGCAGACCCTGCCTGTGGCATGGGGACCACTCCCTGCCCACCCACATTTAAACAGTTAAACTTAACGTTTAACCAGTTACCTAATTAAACGCGATTTTACATCTCTGTTTTGTTCTAATTTTTTATATAGAATCCTCCTCATTAGGCAGTGCCCCAGCCTGCCAGATAGACTGGACAATTGCTACTGAGACCAGGTGTAGCCAGATGTTCCTTCATCTCTTTAGTTCCCAGGATATTATTTTTCTGTATCCCTCAATATGTCTGCTGTACATATCTGATCACCATTGTTGCATTCATGCCTGTTAGTTCTGACCTCTTTAAAGAGCTGGCCCGAGGACTTTCCTAAGTCAGACACTGAAGTGTCTGGTCTTAAAACTATGCTGTTGTAGTACAAATGCTGAAATTCACAGTTGTGCTACAGATGGGTGATTCAGTTACATATGTTTGATGGAAAGCTTTGAGGGGGTTTTTTTAATTCATCTATAATAATTGAAAGTTAACTGATTTTCTTACCTTTGTATCCAATTATTTGCTTATCTGATGTAGACCAAATGAAACTGAAGATGCTGTATATAGTGAAGATGATGCAACAATTTTAGAGGCTGCCCAGGTGCAAATAGGACTTAGGTAAAGTAATAAGCAAATGGGTAACATTTATTTATATTTAGAAGCTTGTAGCAAACTGCCTCACACTGTCATCTTATCTTAATAGGTATGATCGCAGCAGTTCAAGTTTTGTGATAATTGTAGTGCAGCTCAGAAATCTTCATGCCTTCTCTGTCCCGTTTGGTTCCAGAGTGTAAGTAAAATAATCATTGAGCAATAATGCGGAAATGTACTTTGCACAATTTCTGTGATGATTATTCTTCACTCATTCATTTTTGAAGGTACTGTAACTTTAGATACTGTATAAATTATATGTTATTAACAAAAGGTTTTTTTTACCTGTTTTTTTTTTTAAGGTCATAAACTTTCCAACTTTCAGAAGGTTGCATGTGTGTAGTTGTGTGCGTAAAATTATAAATAATGTTAAAATAGTATTTATTAGTTTTAAACAAGGGACAGACATATGTTAAGGGGCAATTTCATTAACTCTAAATAATTCAGCAAAATACTGACACGCATCACCTCTAGCAAGTGATGTTTGAAGTCTCTCAAAAATCAGGCTGTGTATTACCGTGCAGGCAGCGTAAGTATCCAAGTAATAAAAATGGAAAACATTTTTGGCTGACAAAAGGATTGAAAATGACTAATGTAGAAAGTAGTGAAAGAAACAAGAGGAAATGTTCTTAGTGAACATAAGAATGGCCGTTCTGGGTCAGGTCAATGGTTTATCTAGCCCAGTAGCCTGTTTTCTGACCATGGCTGATGTCAGATATTTCAGAGGGAATGAACAGAACAGGATAGTTATCATGTGATCCAGTCCCTCTCAACCAGTCCCAGCTTCTGCATCCCTGATTGTCTTGGCTCCCAGCCATTGATGGACCTTATGGGTGGTTAGAGAAAGGAACTGTGATTAAGGTCTCTGAGTTCTGCACTTAGATCTGTGAATTAACTTGCCGAGTGGCTTTGAACAAACAACTGTTTCCATTTTTCAGGCTGTAAAATCGTTAAATATTATTGTATCTATCTCAACAGATTGTTACGAAGCTTAATATGCTTAGAGGTAGTATGGAGTCAGTCCTTGGAGGATTGGTATTTTTAAGGCTATTTTGAACTAGGTTCATTGATCAATGGGAAGCCAGTGAACATGAAGGATGTGTATGATACAATCTTGGTATTGGGAGTTAATAATTTTATGTCTACCACTAGTATGCCCCCTTAAAACTTATAGTGCAGGAATTTAGGAAGGCCATGAAAATGGAAAGTTGAGATTTTACATGGTTAATGTACAGTATGAAGAAGGCTCTCAAAATAAAATCATTTAAAATCAAGTTAAGTACAAATATTAGCCATGGTCTGACAATATAATAAGAAAAACAAGTTGATGCCCAGTAGTTTTGGCCTTGAGACCAGAGTAAAGGGTTGAAATCTGAGACCTGAGGCAAATAATCTTTACTCCACAAAAAGGACTAAAAATATATTGTTAGTATATTTAGTTCAGTTAGTTAGTTTAAAAAACCGTGAGCTGTTTGCTTCTGATTCAAAGTCATAGCTTCCCAGAAGTGAAAGAATTTGTAAAATCCAGTATACTTGCCTGTATTTGTAAGTTGTTTACATTTTGCATAGCTTGGTCAATGACAATCAGTGAAGTCAATTTCACTTTCACTTAGAACTGCCATGTTTGAAACATGCAAGGGGATTTACATTTGTGGTTTTCATTGGGCCATTTTTTAAAAAATATTGTGAAAATACTGCTGTTGGTGGTAGGTTTTATGAAACCTTGCTTTCACAATTTGAAATTTAAGACGTTCAGATTTCAGTGTCCTTTTAAGCCTTCAAAGTATGCAGCAGTAGAAAGCTGACCTATCTATGACCTGATACAGTCAATAAAAGCAGTGGAATTGTAGTTAATGTCTTTAATATAGTAGAGAGTAATCTAAGGTGCTTGATAATGAGGTGAAAATAAAGCTAGCTAAAGTGAAAGGGTGCATAAAAGATGAGGGTTAAGGAAAAATCATTGTAACACTTGATACATATGTAATGGCTGGATTCCAATTTGGAAACCACACTGTTGCCGAAGGTGTTCCAGAGGGATACAGGGACTGTTGAAATTAGACTATATCTACACCTGTAAGTAGGGGTGGGATTATTAAATAGTAGCATAATGTTAACCTCCTTCATGTACTGCTTCTCATATTTCTGAGCTGTTTTCTTTCTTTTTATTAGTTTTCCATTTTTCCTTTTTTTCCAGAAATAAAATGTACAATACATTCCACCATGCTACTGAAGTAATTTCTAAGTGTTTGACTTTTCTCTCTTAATTTTCCAGCTCTCTCTGCTCCTAAAGGACCTTTCAGCTTTCTAGGGTTTCTTGTTTCCATTAGAATAAGTTATCCCATTTTTTATGACATGATCTTCAGCATCTCTCACTTAATACTAAAGCAAAGGAGTCATTTGAATGGCATCAGCAATATATACTTTGTCATTACCTTCCCTATTCACAGACATAACTTTTGGGGAAGTGGCTGTGCAAGGATGGCATCAGCAATATATACTTTATTTGTCATTACCTTCCCTATTCACAGAAATAACTTTTGGGGAAGTGGCTGTGCAAGGGAGAGGTGGGAAGTTAAATATATCAGCTACCTCTCTCCCCCAGTCCTTTCTGTTGCCTGTCCATTTCCTTAGCATGTACTTTTCCTTCAAACTTTATGGGCAGTTTCTCTCCATGGTGAAAGGCTGACTATGGTGATTCATTTTCCCCTCAGTAGCTGGTGTTTGTTAAGCTTTGTGTACCTGCAGCTGAGCACTAAACAAATGCAGAGTGAAATGTTAAGAAACTGTTAATTTTGGATTTTGTTAATGATTTTCAATGTAATTGTGCTTACATACTGGGGGTGCGATTTGCAAATTTTATTTTGTTTCCTTCAGGTATTTTAGGGTAGCAGTACTTCCATCCTCAGTTGATATCAGCTGTCTCTTCCGCACTAAAGTCCATCCTGCTATGGAAACCATTTTATTTAATGAGATATTCAGAGTAGCCATTTCCCAAGAAGCTTTGCAGCAGAAGACGTTGCGTGTAGATGTCTGTACTGTCAATAAAACTCGACGGGAAGAATGCCTGGTATGCATTTTATTATTTTGCTTGGCATGTCTTTGTTTGAGGTTTTTTATTCCTTACTGATGAACATGGCTACTAGAATTCTGCAGCGCTCCCAGAAGAATTCAACACCATATGGTAGTTGCCTCAAAAGCACTGATGATTAAATTTCTCTTCATTTCTACATGTATTGTAAAGGCCAAAACTATAACAGGGTTCAAAAAAGAACTAGGTAAGTTCTTGGAGGGTAGATCCATCAATGGCTATTAGTCAGAATGGGCAGGGATAGTGGCCCTAGCCTCTGTTTGTTGGAAGCTGGGAATGGGCAACAAGGGATGGATCCGTTGATGGTGATCTGTTCTGTTCATTCCCTCTGAGGCATGTGGCATTGGCTACTGTTGGAACAGGATGCTGGGCTAGATGGACCTTTGGTCTGACTCAGTATGGCCATTTTTATATTCTTATACAATGGAATCGTGGATGGAGACAGTTTTAAAAGTTCTATCATGCCATAGTATTTCATAATAATAAACGTAGATGTAGATCATGAGTAATTTCATCTAAACTTCATTGGAGTTACATCAGTGTAAAATTGGTGCAAGTCAAAGTAGAATTGCATTTCCACAGTGTACCATACAATATATAAAACAAAGTGAGGCAAACTTGTGTTATAATAAAACACTGCCTGTAATGCAAAGTAAAATAATCTTTTGGTCAACACTGTAGATTTCATTAAGATCCATGTTTTGATACCAGAACATTAAGATGTGATGTTAACAATCAAGGATACGGTGACATTATTAATTTATTCTAGCTTCTGATATCATTGCGTCATCATCACATAACTAATATCTTGCTTCCATTTACCTTTAAGTGTGCCATCATGCAAAAATGACAATGACTACGTTTCCCTTCCAGGACACTGTCATGGGGAAAGGATCATTGTTTTATTTTCAAGTCTTTCCATAGTTTGTATTTGTTATCACTGTCATCATGTTGCCCACTGGCAGTGACGAGAGCTTGTGATACGTGTACCAAATGATTAATAATTGTGGACTCTTTAGAATATAAACTGCGAACCCTGAACAATGCCTATAGCTCTGAGGCGGAGTCCTAGGAGCCAGGGGACAATGCCCAGGGGAACTCTCCACAGGTGTATGAGGTAAATAAAATCCACAAGTAGGCCCCACCTTTGTACAGAACCTCCCATCAGGCTTCCTTCTCTTGGACCGATAGATGGTTATCTTGGCCAGCACCAGGAGGAGGTTGATGATATGGTCCAGCCACTCTGTGGAGTTACAGACAGTGCAGCTGGAACCACAGCAGGAAGTTTTGGAGAAGAGGGGCTACAACCTGATGTGTTACAGGTACCCTTGGTGCAGCAAGGTTGTCAGTGAACGATGCCAGTCATGCAGCAACACTTGCAGCCATGGAAATGGAAACCCTCTATTTAGCTACAGAACAGAGGACTTAAATCTCCAAGGTATTCGTCTGGCAGCAGTACTGCAAATTTCCCCATAGTTCCCAAGCTGTAAGTCCCAGATGGCATAATTCACTGACAGCCCTTCTACAGTGAGGAAGACCTGGTGCACTTCTACCTGGAATGCACCAGGTTGCAGCCCTTCTCCTGACTCCTCCAAAACTTAATGAGATTCGATCTGAACTTTCTCCCACATCTTTTCCTTCTCATGTTCCCTGACTATAACTCTAAAAAGTTGCTGGACCATCTCATAAACCTCTTCCTGGTGCTGGCCAACATAACCATCCATCGATCCAGAAGAAGGAAGCCCGATGGGAGGGAGGTTATTTAAAATTGTGGGGCCTCTTTGTGGACCCTATTTGTCTCATATACCTGAATGAAAATATAGTGTTGTCACTTCTAGTCACTCGTCCTTCTTCACTGATACTGCCAGGAAGATTCCAATTAGCATTGGTGGTTGTGGGTGATTTTTGTGATGGACCAACTGTCTGCTGGGAAGTGTACTCAGACTAAACAGAATGTGACCTCCATATAGTTGGAATTGTGGCTTTGTCTCTCCAGAATCCAACTGTGCACTCTGCAGTAGACTCTAATGGTTATTCTGTAACATTAAGTATCAACACAAGAGAAGCATTTGGGGAGCTTTCGGGGGCTTTTTTTTGGTAACAGGTAAATGCTCAGCTTGATACTATCTTTGAAAAAGTCTATACAATATTGAGCAGCTTGTACAGATTGTCATTTGCTCTTTTAAAGTCTGTTTAATCACTGGAAGAAACAATGCTTTTTGAGCTGCAAAATGCCCAGAAATACTTCTCAAATATGTAGTGCCCTTTGTACAGTGAATAACACCATAGAATGAGTGCTCAGCTCTCCTTAAGGAAACATGATCAATGTAAACATTTCCCTTCCATCTGTCATTCTTTGTAGGCTGGAACTCAGCTCAGCCTTGCAGACTTATCGCTTTCTAATGAGACCAATACTCTGTGGTATAATCTGCTGCCCTGCAAGCAAATTCCTGGTAAAAGCAAGGAACAAAATGAGGAATCCATGTTTCTGCCTTACAAGCAATTACCAGGCTCGTTGGACTTGGTGAGCAGTGTGCTTTGGCTCAGCCAGCAAAAGCAAAAAAAAGGTGTTGACCCCTACTCTCCTCCTCCCCTGAGGCAGTTGCATTAATTTTATGTGCCCCATGCTGCAGTTCATATTCATTGACTTGTTTAGGGCCCCAGTCCTGCATGCACTCATGTGCATGCTTACCTTGACTAGCCCCATCTGGGATGTTACATAAGTGTTTGTAGAATCAGGATCAGTGTTTCCTCTAACATTTTCTATCCTTGGGTGGATTGAATTTTCCTTTGGACAGGTTGAAATTTCTTATGTGCAATACCAATGTTGAGGTAGCATATGGATGTGCACCACTAATATAAACAAACAGTCGATGGGCATGGAAGAAAATATATTAAAACAAGGGATAGTTAACAATGCTTATGATATTTAATATGAAATTAAATAAAAAGAAAATTAACACTACCCTTGGAGTACAGGTATCATCATCCTTTCTAATAACTCAAGGTAGTAAACACACCAAAATGTATATTATCCACACATAGCTCAGTTTTAAGATGCAAAATGAATCTGTGAGTCAACTAGAAATAGCCATGCTCTCCTTACAACTACTAATACAATATTTATTGACACTGGAGAGTAAAAGGCATTCACGTAGGCTTATACAGTTTCTCTGGGAAATGTTTAGGATCCTTGCTGTACAATAACAAGTAAAACAGACTTGTAAAAGCAGATAAAAGTTCTCCTGGTTTGAATCTTTCACCTTGTTTGTGTCACCAACTCAAAGAGTAAAAACCCCAGAGCAAATTAACCTATGGCTTCAGAGTTTGTAGAAAGATGTATGTTTCAAAGAGCTTGCAAATAAGGTTTCATCCTACAAAACAACTAGCATCATACCTAGTACTTGCTACTTCTGACTCATAAGAGCCAGAACTCTACAATATAGCAAAGATCTGGCCTTAATGCAATACAGTTTACCATGTATTAATTAGTAACACAGGATTTAAAAAAAAAATAAAGACCAGAGTTTTAAATATCTGCAACATTGCACAAAAATTCTGTTAAAAGAATCCTTTTCTTTCTTACCTTAAGCCATAAATACCTATATAAACTTGAAAATGTAATCATGAAAATGTTCTGGCACACACCCACCCCTGCAGCCTGTTTTCCTCTACTCCCTTCAACCCGGACTGCAGCAAATGAATCTGGAGGACACCCCAAACAAACTCAATCCCTCCTCCCCCCTGCCTCCACCTCACTGCACAGATGCCAGCACCCACCCAGCCTCTTTCCCCCACATACCCCTATACAATCTGCTCTTCACCCTCCCCCTCTCCCAGCCCAGCCAGGGGCTGGAATAAAATCCTACTTCTCAAACTTGCAGGCACTAGCAGTCTAGCTGGGAGTGACAGGACACAGCACAAAGAAACTTTTCACCCCTCCCCTACCTCACCCCAGGACTCACAGCACAAACAACACCCTCTCCCCCCATCTCACCCCAGTGCCAGCACTCAGCAACTCCCCTTTCCCGCACCTACCCCATGCAGTCAGCTTTCCCCCAATCCCCTCTTCCCAGCCCAGGATGCTTGAGGAGAGTGCAGGTTTCTGCCTCTACCTCCTCTCCTGAAACAGACAGGACTCTCCAAACTCCACCTCCCTCTGACTCCTCCCAGCCAATTACTCCCTTCTCCTCCTCCTCCTCCTCCTCTCCCCAAATGCCCCTTCTCCACAACTCTCTCCAGCCACTTATTTCTTCCTTCCCTCCTCCTTATCTCCCCTCCCTACCTGCTCTTGGAATTCCTTCATCTGAAGCAGCAGAAGCTCTGTTTGAAGCTGCTCAGACAGTCCGTCCCCTAGCTGGTCAGTTGAGCTCCCTGCCTCCATGGGAGCTCTGATCGTCTGCACAGGGCTCAATAAATATCTGTGTAGCCGCAGCTTACAAGGAACTTAGATCAGAACCTAACCGTGGGTTGCAGGATTGGATCCTCTGTTTAACTCTCGCCTTCCCCTGACTTTCCTTAAACTGTTTTTTAAATAAGAGTCTCCCTAACTTCCCTGTTAATTTGGTTTATTTTCATATGTGTACTTTGGAAACAACTTTTTTTTTTTAAGTTTGCATTCACGTATTAAAATATTTTCATTGCATTTAAAAATACTCTTTAAGCAAGTTATACCTTCATTATTCCAGCTAAAACAAACTTCTCTGCTTTGTGCTTGCATCGCTAGAACAGTATGCTACATATATGAATTTAAGAAATAAATCGTTTCTTCCTATTTAGACAACAATCACCCCTCCATACAGATTGACTGTACTTCCGGGCACCTCCCAATTAGACCACTTAAATCTCCTTTTGAATGTTTTCACACAACTAATTAGTATGTAGTGTGTTTGGAATTCTGATTTCCCAACATCAGCTTCCATACTTGGTCTTTTTATTACCATTTAATCGCATTTTCCTGGTGTAAGGGAATGCCAGAGAAATGCAACTCTTGTAAGCATTGTCATTTCTTGACTAATGTACTGTGTCTAGTTTCGTTCTCTTTTTTACACCATCAGGATGCTGTCTCAGCTCTGCTGGAGAGAACGTCTGCTGAGCTGGAAGCTGTGGAGCAAGAACTGGCAGAGGAAGAGGAGGAGGAGGAAGAGGAAGAAGACAGGCAGGACCACAGAGGCGCTGACGAAGACTGGTAATGCTGCTCTTTCCATTGACTCTCTTTGTAGGCTTAGGAAAAGTGCTTTACCTGCCAGGGGGAAAAAATTAGTTCTTCTGCAGGGATAATTCATTATCTTCACTGAAGTTTGCCAAACATACTGCATGTTCTTATTCTATCCTTCTGTGTAATCCATTCAGTTCTTCCTGACTCACTGACAATGTCCCAGCAGGTCATATCACAAATGCTACATGTCGCTGCTTATTGCAATCCACACAACCTATTAACTTTAGTAAGAATTTAATAGGATTTAGGGTTCAGAGGCTGCTGCAGGACATAGACAAAATACGTCCTTTCATTCTTGTTCTGGAAGCTATGTGAACTTTCTTCAAGAATGGGATGGGTTCTGTTGCTAAATTACAGTATCTTGTTGTGAATGTTAAGGAACAGGCTTTCCCAGTATGGTTTTTCTGTAGTTTTCCTACGCAAATGTGTGATCATGTGCAGGAGCCTAATGAAATTTCTCTTATATAAATTATCGCCAGAGCGGCATGCTGCTATCGGTGCTGTTGTGCTTTGTTAAAATGTTCTCGATTAATTATAAAAGAGCTTTCTGGTTTTTCTTGTAGCATATAATTAAAAATGCATTCACGTTAGTGATTTGGGAGCATTTAGTGAGGCTATAGTTATCCTGTTCTTATCAAAATAACAAATTGATGATAATACACGTCTTGTAAAGTGGCAGGATTTAGACATTGAGGTACTTTTCTCATGGGTCTTGTCAGTCCAAGGATAACTTGGGTTACTTTTGTTCTTGTAGGTTGGAAATGCTAGCAGAGGCGTCAGATGAAATTGTGCATGAAGAGGAGGATGGAATTAAACTGGCAGAGGAAGACAGATACACAAATAACTTGAGATTATGCACAGATACAGCAGAGACAGATGAAAACCAGGGTGGGGAAGAAAGTGACCATGCTGTTGCCCCTGGCAATCAGCTAGCTGCTGTAGTACCGACACTGGTGAATATTTTAGATTGTGCTTCCCTAAGGCATACTGCATGTTTGAAGACACCATTTAGTCTTATGAAATATTTATTTGCTTTTTTCCATATGAGAATGCCATAATAGTATACTGGGTTTGAAAGCTTAAAGATTGTCATGACATTTATTATAGCAATTGTTTGTACAGTAAGTTTTAGCAAAATCAGACTGGTCACTTTTGAGTTAGACAAGTGTGAATTTTTAACGTTCATTCGAGTTGAAAATTTTGCATACTTTTAACTAAAAAAACCTTAAAATTTCAGGTTTAACTTGGTCTCTGAGTAAGGAAAAACATTCAAGTTGTAAGAAAATCAGTTTAGTAGGTTTACGGTTATGAGTGTGCACGTTATTCTTTGCTTATGTATTTTAAGATTTCATCTTTAGTTTGTTCTTATTTCTCTCAAGATTATGCTTTCAAAAAAATTAAGATCTTTGAAGTTAATGCCGAGGATTTAGACGTAAATCTTCTATCTGAACTTGTGAAAATGGAAAAGTTTGATGCCTGGTCTAGTGACTTATAGGTGATTGTAATTAGCTCTCAGTTAGTGCAGGTCCCAAAATTGGGCAAATGGACTAAGGGTGTTTTGGATATCAGGCTGGCAGGCACAGATCATGGCCCTGATTCAGCAGTATTCTTAAGCCCATGCTGTGATAACTCACCTGCTTCAAGTTAGATATGTGCTTAAGTAGTTTTCTGAATTGTGGCGTAAAGCTGAGCTCTGGGTCTTGTTAAGAAGGCCTACATTCTGCAGTGGGTCAGAGGCATAGCAGCAGGTGGCAGTGCACTGTCTGATTTTGCAACACTGTTTGAAATGTGATCTGCTAGTGCCAAATCCTCCTACAGTTGCTGTGCTGCTACTTAAGACGTTTTCTGATATGCCTGGACAAACAGATAAATGAAAGCTTCAAAGCACAATCAGTGTTGGTGAAGAAAAGGGAGAAAAGATACCCAAATGCTCATTTCAGTGGACATAGTAAAGTAGAACCTAATGAATGTATGGACTGGTTGTGTGGGAAGCTCCTGTTCATATGAATGAGTTGGCAGATTAGCTGTTGCCATGGGTTGGACAAGGAAGACCAGCAACAGTAAATGCTGGAGCCCTGTTTCAGGGCATTTGCTTCAGGGAGGGAGTTGAGGTGCAATAGGCATCACCATTCCCAGTCCTGTTCCCAGCACAGCATCAGCAGCTGTGAACTGTTCTACACACAGGCTTTCCAGATTGTGGTTTACAGATGAGTGAGGCTCCTGCTGGAGACGCTTCTGATGGAAGGGTAATTGTATTGGGCACAGGAACACCTGGCCCAGTTTTTCTTACACTCTTTGTAACCGATCTTTTTAAATTAAATACTGATGCACTTCGTGTTAGGTTAGATGCTTTGCTTTCTGTGTTGGATTGCAACTGGAATGTCCTTGGGAGAGTAGAAAACGTTATTGGCAGAGGATTGTATATGTGTCTGTGCGTGGTTTGGGGTTTTTTACTTTTACGTTCCTCTTGACAGGTTGATAAAGAGACTAACACCGAGGAAGCAGTTAATGAGAATGTGGCAGTCCGACCCAAGGATAGAGGCAGCTTGAGCTCTAGACAGCGTCCCTTTGTCAGGAACAGCATGATCGTGCGCTCACAAACCTTCTCTCCAGGAGAGCGGAACCAGTACATCTGTAGGGTAAGAGGAAAAACGCTCTCAATAAGATGCTATTAACTAAAGAGTCATTTAATTCCTGGCAATGGCGCATTAGTGGCAATGAGACATGTACTGGGAAATTCCTCTCTTCACCTACAAGAGGCTAAACGGTACTTTTCTTGGATTTTCAAAATAGCAGACTGATGATCAGCGGAACAGGCATCCACTGCAGTCCTTTTGGCACCAAACACTTTTACTGTGGATGAAAAGCAACCCTTGTGTGAAATGTGCTGGCCCTCTGCACAGGGGTGGGTTTCATTGTGTAAACAGAACAGTAATTCACACATAGCATCAGAGGGGTAGCCGTGTTAGTTTGAATGACTACATGCATCTGATGAAGTGGGTCTTAGCCCACAAAAGCTTATGCTCCTACACTTCAGTTAGTCTATAAGGTGCCACAGGACTCCTCGCCGCTTTCACACACAGTAATGCACCAAAATAATCGAACATCTTTGTTCTGTTGAACATGTGTTAGAATAAAACTCACAATAAGAAAACACAGCATTAGCATTTTTAATAATGTGAGGGCAACATAGTGTGGAAAGAGCTCAACTGCTATCGGTTTTGAATCCCTTTTGAAGCTTACCATGATTTCAAGCTGGATGGCATAGTTAGCATCTACATGATGCAATTCTGAAACCCTGCTGCAGCTGTGTCCCTGAGCTCTGCATTGGGCATTAGTCTCAAATTTGTTTCTGATAATACACTTCGTAAGTCTTCCTTTGAACAGTATGTCACATGGAGATTGCCTTCGTTTATCGGCAGTTGTTTTTGCAGATATAGACTCTTAACATAGCTACTCCTCTGATAGTGATAAAATGGAGATGCTGATAAACTAAGGCAATAGGTGTAAATGTTTAAATACCAAGCAATAGATACATTTTTTTTAAGTCTAAGAAGTGATCAGAAGATGTGTTTCCACAAATTTTAATTTAAAAATGATTAGCTTTGAGCCGAGTATGGCTCCGATGGTAAGTATGTACATCTTTTTCTCGTCATTTTAATTCCTTATCAAGCCACTGCTCCATTGGTCAGGCATTTCCCTTTTAAATAATAAAATGTTTAAAGTTGGTCCCAATTTTATGGCAATTATTGGATTAAAAATGACCAATAATTGGTATGGCAGCACATAGCAGTGCGTACTCTTTATACCGTCACAAGGTGAATCTCCTGTGAAATGTTTGACTTCTTGCACTCACTAAGTATATAAGATGCCCACAGAATACTCTATTGTTTAACCCCTGCATGTTGAGATCTTATTTACACTCGTGCAGCCCTAATGTTGCTGTTACTTGTGCAGCTCCTCCTGAGGAAGTAATGGTGGATGGTGTGATGTAGCTAGGACCCTGGTGGTTTAACTATACTGCCATGCCCAAGTTTACATAACAGTAAACAGCAAAGTTTACTTAACTTCCACCCATTTTACCATCAGTGGAGCTAAACTGGTGGTGAACTGTGGCTATGAAGTTTGCTAGTATTCAGGTAACCATAGTGTGAAAACACGGTTCCCTTCATCATCTCAGTGTGTGTGTGACTGTGGCAGAGCCGGGACACAGAGATTATGACTTGCTAAAAAAGTCATATAGGAAGCCAGTAATGGAGCTGGTGAAAGAACCTCCTGGGTCTCATTCCACTGTAAGACCACGCTTCCTCTCTCCCTCCCCTTCCCCACAGTGTATCCTGGGCAGAAAACATTTGATGGATATGCACTCATAGATGCTAAGGCCAGAAGGGACTATTGTGATCATGACGTCCTGCACGTTGCAGGCCACTGAACTTCATTCACCCGCTCCTGTTAAAAAAAAAAAAAAACCTAACCTCTGGCTGAGTTACTGAAGTCCTCAAATCATAGTTTTAAAAGGTTTCATATTACAGAGAATTCACTCCAGCTAGCTACCTGCTGATGTCCACTCCCTTTTAGAAAGCACCCCTTCTCAGGTGACGTTTTGAAAGTGACTCATGAAGTGTGTATAGTCATGCTGAGTTTGTAGGGGGAGACTCTCAAGACCCAGAGGACAGGTAGGAACACAAATACCATTTGTTCCTTTGAAAAGTGTTGAACAAACATTTAGATACTAATGTTTGATGGGTAGCCTCAATGAGTTTAAGAGCTGAATTGGTCTGACAGAAGACTGATTTCTCTCTAGTGATGCTTACTCATATCACAGTGTGGTTCTTTTTCATATAAACGCTGCATTAGCATGCTGTAGGGCTCTGACTTTGTCAGTCGTTGAAATTTCAGCAGCACAATTCCTGCTAATTTTTTCAGCTCTTCAGAAAAGAGTATTAATTTTTCAGATTAAAGTATTAAACTTTTAACTGGCTTTCTTTTAATTATGCTCCTATATACATTGATATACTTAATAGAGTCCCAGTTTGAGAACAATCTGTATGCATGTACACTATTTATAATGCAACTAAGACTGGGTCTGAACTGCACTTTCATCTGTTAAACTTTTGTTGGTCGGGGTATTTTTAAAAAAATCTCTCTGACTGACACAAGTTTTATTGATGAAAAGCGCTAGTGTGGACAGCACTTGGTTGGCAGGAGATGGTCTCATACCAATTAAGCTGCTGCCCTTTGGCAGCGGTGGTTTTATTTCACCAGCAGGAGAGATTTTCCTGGCAGAATAGAGCAGCCACATGGGAGACCTGCCAGTGGCACAGCTGTAGTGGTGGAACTGTAAGTTATGCAGTGTAGACATAGCCTAAGATAAAAACCATTGTTGTAGTTTAGTCTGTAGTACTGATTTGAGAAGCAGTAATGTTTCTGTAGGAGAATCTGCACATCCATTCTCTCCAGATAAGACAGGATCTTGCTTGTTGCCCATGTGAACACGTAGAGTAATTTGCTTTTCCCTTTGCAGCTCGGTTGATAAGGTCCTACCCCAGACATGTGCATAGTATTTGCAACCTTGGAAACAAGGACTATAAAAGAGCCCTTTGGCGATATGCCCTTACTATCACTTTGGTGATATGCCCTTACTAAGCTAATTAAACTTTTTTAAACAATCCACAGTGCATCTTTAGTAAAATATGGTAAACTACATATGATTGAATTATTTTTAATTTCACCATCACTGATGACTGATGCAACAGTCAGTGTCAGTCCATGAGTGATTTTCCATCACCTGTGTGTCGTCATTATGCTGTGACTGTCTCATGCTCTGTGAGGAAGAGAATGTGATTGACTAAGCCAGTGTTGGGCACAGCTCCTCTGGGGAGGCATATAAGATTGATAAATTAAGGGGAGTAGACCTCTAACAGTCCATGAGATAGCAGAGGATTCCCTTCTCCTGAAAGAATGGCTTGACTTTCTGAAGTTTGGGATATGGCAATCTCAGCTAAGAAGTTAGGTTGCTTACCTACTGACTGAATCATTGTTTAGCTTCCGAGTAAAAACTGCTGAAATGTCTTGGGGTGGAGTTGGGGGAAGGGAACATTATATATTCATGGTATAGAAGCACTGATATTATCTGGATTGGCAATGTAAATTGAAGAATAAAAGTTGGGTCAAATTACCTAATGTTACCTTTCACCACCACTAAATAGCCTACGTTTCAGTAAATGGCTTCAGATTGCTTTCATGCAGTAAATGTGTCTGAGCTCTTTAAGATGCTAACCCTGGACATTTATTTTATCTGACTGAGAGGTTTTATTGAACCTCCAAAATGACCTACGTGCATATCAACATCCTCATTTTTCTAAATGCTTCTGACTTAAAAGCAAAACAAACCTTGTGTTTAAAATCTAGTGCTGTTTTGAATCATAGTGTTTATATTCATATTTTGACAGCTGAATCGAAGTGACAGTGACAGCTCAACACTGGCCAAAAAATCTCTCTTTGTAAGAAATGCCACAGAACGACGGAGCCTGAGAGTTAAAAGGGTATGTGCAGTCTCACCTGAACGGTGAGCCAAGTATTTGCTACTTTTTTTGGATTTCATTTTAAACTATCTGCTTGATTTTAGGCATCTGGAATCTATAGACTGACCTCAGCAAAACCCAGCCTCCCTGGGACCCCAGATCTAAATCTCAATGCCACTGTGATTTGGCCCATCATCTTTTTCCAAAGTAGATAAGCAGAATTCCATTAACTATGTCTGGGTCCTTTAGCAACAAAATTGTCCCAACAAAATTGGGATAGTAATGATCCCATGGAATTTCTTGTGGAGTAGAGGTTTATACTGGTACCTTTGGGCAGAATTTCCCCTTTCTCACTATTAGGATGTGCATCAGATAGATGCCACCTTCACATTTAGGCTTAGTTGTTTCCGAGATGTGCTGTATGGTATATAAAAATAATCAGAATCCTTCAATAATTCAACACACTATTTAAATATAAAATAATGCATTATGCATGTTTATATACTCTGTATGTAAATAACATTCAGACAATATTAATCCGAAACACATTTTTGTTGATCAGGTGGAAAACTCTGATAGTTTCAAGGATTCAACCATTCTTCAATTTTCTTTTTCAATGAATTTCCTCTAGAAACTTTTGTGAATGATGAAGGGATTTAAAGGATATTGTGAATTTTTATCAGATTAAATGCACACTCTCACCTAGAGAGTTACCAGGCTTCAGAGGGACAAAAAGGATTTAAAAGGTCTAAGGAAGTCTGACTATACTTAGCTGTATGGCAGAATTGATGTGCAAGAAGAGATTGCGAAGTCTGGAGGGTTTACTTTGACCATCATTGGAGAATACTCTATTAAATTAAAAGAAGTAAATTTGAAGCAGTGAAAGGGAAATACTTGTTTATAGACTGTGGTCAATCTCTGGCATTCATTGAGGTCCCAAATCATCAGGGTACTTCAGAAAATTAATATTCCCAACTAAAATCAATGTGCTTAAAAGTTAGATGTGTATTTAAGTACCTTGCCGGTTTGAGGTCTGCTACAGGATGTCATTGACTCAAATGCTATGTCTGAAGTTTTAGAAGTCCTGGATAATTTTATGCCCATTAATGATATATGCTGTGCTAGGAAATCTAAAGACTATTAAATGTATTACTTCATAAAAGCATTGCTGGGAGAGCTATGGCTTTTGGTCCACACATAAGTTATGTCATCGAAGCTACATCAGTCTGAGGAATGGAAAAACCATACCCCTGATTTACATAGTTATGCCAACAAAATCCCCGTGTAGATAACAGCTGTATTCATGGGAGAGGGCTTCTTGCCAACCAAGCTGTCGTTCAGGGAGGTCATGTTCTGGCACACGGAAAAACTGGAATTGGAGGCTTCATCCACATGAGGGGACTATGCTGGCATGACTGTTTTGACATAGCCATATGGCATCTGTAATGTGTGAACTATAGGAGTTCTTACAGCATCTTGTGAGACTTTAGGCACTGGCTACAGCCAGAATCAAAGTTATAAAGTGTTGTGCTCAGAAGAAATAAATATGAACATTCCTTACCAAACTGTCAACTCTTTACCTCAGCCTTTATATATTAAATGAACTCTTGCTTGCTATTATATTGTCTTTCCTGAACAATTCAGCCTGTGTGCCAGTCAATCATGCGAAGAGCTACGCAAGAGCACCCTGTACGCACTTCTCTTGACTTGGAGCTGGACCTCCAGGCATCTCGGACACGACAGAATCGTCTGAACGATGAACTTCAGGCACTGCGCGATCTTAAACAGAAGCTTGAGGAGATGAAAGCCAGAGGAGAGACTGACCTTCCCCAGTGTGTGTTGGAGGATGAGAGATTCCAGAAGCTCTTGAAACAAGCTGAAAAGCAGGTATAAATAGTGAACAAAATTCCCCATCATTTTGTGAGATAAGTTCTTATTTATTTCTAGTAAGGACTGTGTTTCGGTCTTGTTGTAAAGGAAGCACAAATGAAAAATTTCCTGTAATGTATCTATAAACCAAGTGGATCCATAATAGTAGTAAACAAAAAGTATACAAATAGATTTGGTTATTGAATTGTTTTAGGAGATATTTATAGAGGTATCGTAATAGACTAATTAGCTGAATTATGCAGTATGAATAAAAGATTATGGGAAATCTAAAGGAAAAAAAGTCTATTAAAGAATTAATCCAGACTCAAGTAATTATTTAAACCTAGAGTTTACTAAGCACGAAAAGTAATGTTACTTGAGAGTTGCACACAGAATTTAATAGCTAATTAATTTGGAGGTGAAACACACTTTTGAATTTGGGGATGGGGTTTGTATTCAGAAACAATATGGAAATCCATTTAAAGGTTTAATAATCTTAATCCCAGTTCTGCTTCCATTGAAGTCAATGTTTTCATTTTGCTGGAAGGGGGGAAAAGCATGACTAGTGAGTGCTAGCTGGCTCAAACTTCACACATATGTAGCTGCCTTGCAACCTCAGCAAAGAAGGCACAGAGAAGCAGAGGCCATCATTCGAGACTATACATTGTGGGTATGTCTACACTACAAAGTTAGTTCGAACTAATGGACGTTAGTTCGAACTAACTTTCATAGGCGCTACACTAGCGCTCCGTTAGTTCGAATTTAATTCGAACTAACGGAGCGCTTAGTTCGAACTAGGTAATCCTCATTCCACGAGGATTAAGCCTAGTTCGAACTTACTAGTTCAAATTAAGGGCTGTGTAGACCCTTAATTCGAACTAGTGGGAGGCTAGCCCTCCCCAGCTTTCCCTGGTGGCCACTCTGGCCAACACCAGGGAAACTCGTCTGCCCCCCTCCCGGCCCCGAACCCCTTAAAGGGGCACGGGCTGGCTACGGTGCCCGTGCCAGGTGCAAGCCTGCCAGCACCCAGCTAGCAGACCCTGCACCTGGCACGGATCGAGCCACCCACCCGATGCCCCCCAGCCCTCCCCCTCTTCCCGGGACCAGGCTGGTGGCTCCCGGGAGCTTG